CTAGCCACCGTCGCCCGACTACAATCCTTTAGTCTTCATAAACTGACTACAATCCTTCAATTAATCAAATGACTACAATCCACTGAACATCATCACATAGCTTTGGTCTTTTAATGATTGTTATCAGATAATAGTCTTTTGAACATCATCGCATGATTACAATTCTTTAATCACTGTTGCTCGACTATGATCCTCTTACCACTTTCATCAGATAACAACCCTCTGATTAGCATTGCTAGACTACTACCCTATGACCACCATCACTCCACTAAGATCTTCTGACTAATGTTGCCCAACTATGACGTTTAGAGCACTATTGCTTAATTATAGACCTCTAACCACCATTGCCAAATATGGCCCTATAACCATTGTCACACAACAACAATGGTCCATTCACCATCGACCAATGACAATTCTTCGACCACCATCACCTAATGGTGACCCTCCTAACATCATCGCAAAACTGCAGTCTTTTAAGCATAGCTGTTTGAGAACAATCCTCTAACCATTGTTGTCAAGCTATATCAATTTGTTGCTCACTTCATCACCTTTCATCCAATAATATCAACTTTGCCATCGTCTGTACATCTAATGCATATCGTCGGCACCTAGTTTGACATTAGCAATTATATTTATGTTAGACTTCTTGGTCTTTAATAAAAGATCTCTTGAAGATAGCTCTCATGCCACAAGGCTCTTCCAACTTCCACCACAAATATATTTTATGCATTGTATATCTTATATTTTAGTAACACCTTCTCTAATCATGATGAAGGATATCATTTATAACCAATGATAAATACTAGTGGGAACATTTCAACCGTGCCTGACCTAATGATATTCCTTTTTGAATTTTTCATATATAAACTCTTGTGTCGCTTGCAATCCTCTTTTATCCGTGTCTATCAATTCTTCATATAAATGCTAAGAGAATAAACCCTCTTACTCTACCTCCACAAATATTCCAACATGCAAAGGTTATTAGTATCAAATGCCTGAGCTACTATTAACCTATAATCAAATTACGAGCTATTATGCTCACCTAGCCAATTCGTTCAAGCCCGATTTGACGAGTTATAGGTTGATAATGGTGGTTCGACCATGATCAATATCAATGATATTTTTTTGTGAATGATCTCATCATATCACATCATAGATCTTTATGCCTCGAGCATTAGTAATAGGAGATTGAAAAATTGATAACCTAATTAATGATAAGGTTTGTCACTTTTTAATTAAGGTCTTCAAAAAATACCAATAATAACCCATCATTATATAAACCCCATACACTCTCTCTCATAAGAAGTATTTTGAGAGAAAAGACTCATAAATTATTAGCGTATCAAATAATAAACATTTTTAAGAATGGATTGCACAATAATTAGCATGTGGCTATGTAATTGTAGGTCAGTAGTACACTGCTAGTATTAAGAAGATCCTTGGAAGTTGTTTAGTTAAAAAAGAAAGGTCAATGTTTCTAATGGCATGTTTTATGAAAATTAAAACATAAGTATACATATTTCAATTTTAAATCAACGGCTTACTCCTAACCCTCAAAGTCTTTGCAAAGATACGTTTCACTATAGAGTGTTTTTATCCTTTGTGCATATTGTAAGAAAATGACTTGGCCGCATAAGAATATTGATGCATATATATTAGAATAAAATATATTTATAATTCCGTAAACGGGCTATAGTCGGAGGGCGATAAATGTCGCAGGGAATGTAGTCGGCAGGTGACGGAGGTTGGAGGGATCAGTATTAGCTAGCAATAGAGGTCAGATAGACTATAGTTGCTAGGTGGCATTGCTCAGACGAATCATATTCGGCAGATAACGGTGGTCGGAGGGACCATAGTTGGGGGGACGGAGGTCGAAGGGACTGTAGTCGGTGGGCGACGGTGGTCGGATGGACTGTAGTCGATGAGCAACGATGGTCGGAGGGATTGTTGTCGGCGGGCGATGGAGGCCGGAGGAACCATCGCCCGGGGGGACGTTGGTTAGACGGGTGACGGTGGTCAGCAGTCGGGTGGAATTACAATGGAAGTCATCGGTTGAGTGGAAGTCTGACGGCGGTTGGAGCCGGGCGATGGTCGGACGAAAGTTTGGTGACGGTCGGCTACCAGGTGGAAGTCCTGCTGCGATCGGCGGCCTAGTAGAAGTTCGTTGGTGGTCAGCGGTTGAGTGGAAGTTTGGTGGCAGTCAGTTGCCGAGCGATGACTCAACGATGCATGGTTGGTCGAAAGTTTGGCGATGATTGGCAGCTGGGTGAAAGTCTGGAGGCGATCAGCGGTCGGGTGGTGTTCAGTAGAAAGTCATGTAATAGTCTGTAGTGGTCGATGGTGGTCTGCGGCCAGGCGGTGGTCAATGATGGTCGGGCGGAGTTCGATGGCGGTGATAATGGTCGAGCAGGAGTCCGAGAGTAGTTAGCAGCCAGTTGAGCTCTAAATCCTTGAAGCCTCCAATCTCTCTCCAATCTCTCTCCAATCTCCAAGCAAAGATCCAAGCTCCCATTCATGTAGAAAGTGAGGGTCTATTTATATATTTTTGAGAGTGACATGCCCCGTAAATATGGAAAAGATTTGGGGCAAATTTGTAGTGCTCCATCGGACGACCTATGTTGATGCCCTAAATCATAGAGCATTTGTCAAGCATTTATATTCCCAAGTGATGTTAGAATTAAGCGATATTGAGCTCGTTGGATTTTCCTCATTGAGTTGCTCGATTATACTATAAACATATTATATTTGAATATCATTTGGTCATCCAATGTATGTTTTGAATCTTCCAAATGTGCTTCGGGCCTCCCGATTTGGAACCATTTGGTCTTGAATTGGTCCACATTTAGTGTCGTTTGATTCGTCTCTTCGAGACATTCAGTTTGACAATAAGTTTGCCAAATTGGAGTTCAGATGATATCATAATTAATTTTGAAAGTTTTCAATTTAAATATGCCTCAAGATTCATGCTCGATGAAGATAATTTTTAATGACGTATCAATCATAATCAAATAAAAAAATAAAAATACTAAAGCTATGCTAAAATGAAAATTTGAACATTGCAGTTGCCGACACCAAAGCTTGCTTTTTTTTTCTTTGTTTTTTTGCATCTTGGGGCAAACAAATGGTACATCCACTCTCCTATAAGAAATTTGAGCTTAAAAGGAATACAGACAAATGTTTGGCCATTAAACGGAGCTTGTCAATTACATATATGATATATTTTTTTCTATTTGACATTTATGAGATTTTTCTTAATTATATAACTTCATGATGGTGAAGTCGGCAGAAAAATTCACTTTGTGCTTCGTAGGATGCTTTGAAACGATAAAGATAGGAAGGTCAGTTGCAGATTTTGTCTAAAGAAAAATGGCAAATTTTCATTAAAATTTTTTCATAAAAAATTATGGGAAATAGTCAAACAATATTAATGAGTGTTGAGATTTATGCTTTACTGTTAAAACTTCAAATTTTCGAGTATGCCACAAATTATCATATAGTTTTAGTTGGTCATAAAGTTTCCTAAGCCCAATGGTCCTTGAACTTTATAGGGATATTTAGGATTGGTTTGTATATTTAAAGGTGGGTCCATGGGTTAGGTTGGTTTAGGTCAGCTGAATTTTCCTAATTGCTCATAAAGGAACAATGTGTCAACCATGTGTTTAGCCTTGGCTAGCGATAACTCTACGTAAACTAAGGCTTGATATAATTAATCCTAGGGTCTGGCTGAGTTTCCAAGCTTAAGTGGAGGTGAAGTCAGGTCAATTGGATTGGGTCAAGCCAATTGAGCGCAATGGTTCATCCAGGATTTAATTGAGCATAATTGGGTATAATCTAGATACATGCTAGTCTAAGATAAATTCAAAGGGTGCTTTGAATCTCTAATACACTATGGATCAAACAATAATGGGTAGGGATCTTTATAAGATCAATTAGGTTAAGCCATAATTTAATGTGCCACATTGGGTTAAACTTGGTCAAGTATAGTCCACTAAGGGCTAGTTTAAACTAAGATAGTCTAGGAAGAGTCATAGAATAACCGGGAGTCCAATGGATGATCCTAGATGGGGCAAAATGGATTAAGTCACTTCTAAGACGGTACAAGGTTTAGTCCAATTTGGGCTAAAGCCAAAGCCAACAAGTCTTGGGCCTCCCTAAGGACAGTTAAGATCTATCATATCAAGATTAAAAAAATTTAAGGGTGTGTCAAGTCTAAGACTTAGATAAATCATGGTTGATTAGGTTGGGTTCAGGCAAGAAGTTGGCACAATCACCTAAGCGATGAATCAAGAGTCCAATCGGGCTAATCAAAGTTCATTGTAGGACATAAACTTAAAAATATCAACTTTACTCAGTTGATCTACACTAAATAAATTGGTATGGAGGGACGTATGAGGAAAACAATGTGTAGCCATTTATAGCTTGATTAGCGTTAGGGCTCATCAAGTTCTACAGTCAACTTAGTTCAAAGTTGATCAGTTGGTGCCTTAGATCAATGTTCGAAAAACTCATTTCCTAAATGATCACTCAACTAAGAGATAAACTTACTTAATGTTTCAGATGTTTTGGATCAATGTGATGAGGGTCATGTCTAGGAGAAATTATTATGTGCGGTCACCGACGATTCGGAGGCGAATCAAGATGCACCATGTCACCTAGAACACAATAATATATAGCACCGATACACAATAAAATGGTGATGTACGTGAACAATTAGTGCTTAATAAAGTCACATTTTATACTTATTTTAAGATTTAAGTAGAAAAAAGTCATATATATACGAATTCATGAAAGTAAAGAACATAGATTTATATACTTTTGAATCAACTACCAAGTTGTCAGATATTCAACTTTTTTTCCTAAACAATTTTTGCCTTCCAGTATTTTACTTGGAAGTCATCAAAGTTTGAAGACTGGAACTCGTTAAATTCACCATGAATTTGCTGGTGATGCAGAGAACTCACCATCGTAATTTCTTGCAAACAGCGAATTATTTTTTAATTCTATGCCGCTGCATCCGATTGAGCCTTGCCCTCTTGACACCGTTCATGCTGGAGATTGATCTCCTCGCTACATAGTAACGAGTACAGAGTGTCGAGACTGATGGGGCTCAGAGACGTTCTTATGGCTGTTTTGAATGGGTTATACTCAGTGGGAAGACCATTTAAAATGTATAGTGTTACATCCTCGGCGTCGATCTTGGATCCTGCGGCAGCAATGTTGTCCACGAGAATCTTGATTTGATCAAGATATTGATGAATGGTGCGATCCTTCTTCTGAATGTTGTGTAATTCATTTTTAAGTTGAATGACTCGTGAGCGATTTGTAGGTTGAAGTCGCTGCTCGAGTGTAGTCCAAACTTCGTGGGCGGTTTGGAGAGAGAGAACGTAGGGAAGCACGGATGAGGAGATAGTGGAAAGAAGGGCAGATACCAAATTTCTGTCAATAAGTTTCCACAGATTGTGTTCTTTCTTGGAAGACTCCGGAGGGCAAGCTGTGATTCCGGTGAGATGACCTCCGAATCCATTTGCAGTGAAATGTTGTTGCAGTTGCAGCCTCCATATTGCGTAGTTGTCAGTGTTCAATTGTGTGGACACCAAGTTCTTGGTGTTGGAGATCAAGAACTTAAGGGGTGCAGGGATGACGAATTCAGCGAGAGCCTCGGAGATGTCCGAAGTCGTCCGGTGCGAGGTGGCTGAATTTTGGTCGGCCATGGAGTTTAGATCTGAGCCGTGAAGCGACGATGCTCTGATACCATGAAGACGTTTGGAGATTACAGAAAACAGAGTTCTTGCCTTAGGCAAGAAGACGGAGAAGAGAAAAGCAGAACAGACAGAGAAAACTAGAAAAGTATATTGTTATTAATGTTTGTAGTACAGGAGATGATATATATAGACTTAAGTAAAGCAAGAAAGTACAAGAGACAGATGACGTGGACAGTACTTTAACAACTAGCTGTAGAATCTTAAAGGTTACCCTCATGGAGACCCAAAGTCAGGTGAATGGTACGACCCATCCAAAGTAAAAATATAATTTAATAGAACTTTCGAATAGGGCAATATAAGTCTTGATCATCCATTTTGATAAAAATCTACTGTATGCATGAATTATCATTGCAACCAAAATATATTATTTGTGGATTCATTCTATTTGATCTAAATAACTGCAGTTATCTACCTATCGAAAATACTTAAAAGGTACTCAACAAGAATTATCTTTGGGAAGAATGGAAGTCACAGCCCAAGCCGAGTGGGGAACTCACGAGCCTTTGTAATTCGCTATGTCTGTACTAATCTCGCACTCGTGCATCACCGACTTCTGATAGTTTTGAGACCAACGGGGCGCATTTCCAATTGGAAGTCATAAAATTATCTGCACAACTATGAAAAGGTTAGAAATGTTTAGTCTCACAGCAGAGATATTATAAATGCAGAGTAATTCTCGAAGATATCAAAATTTCTAATAAGTGACTTATGGAGCTATTTATATAAGAAAATATGTGGAAGTTAAAGCATCTCATCATAATTTTGCCAATCCCAGAAGTCAAAACATATTTCTATCATTTTGTCAGACAAATCACAAAAAATAATCAAAAGATATGAAATTATAAGAAAATTACATCAAATGCATAGTTTACTCAAATAAGGAATCAAAAGGTACAGTGGAATATGTCTGCTCCATTACAGCTGCACCATGTGTTTTAATTATATTATCAGTTTGCACAATGGGGATCAGAAAGCATCTCATTAGTGGCTAAGCCCTCACAAACAAAATGCTGAAATGAGAACTCAGTACAGGGGACGTGCGGGGCAGCTTCGTGGTTGAGCGTAGTTGTTGCTCCTCGCCGGCTCACCCGTTCATTTCCCCAAACAGGCCCAACAAAAAAAATAAAAAATTCAGTACGGCGATACCTCCAGCAAATTGATCCACGTAAGAAGAGCTTGTGTTCTTCGGCTGCACCCTTCAAAGTATTCAGCTTTATTTTAATATCATTGGCTAGTTCAATTGAACAATGGCGGAGCTAAAAATTTTATTCAGATAGTCTAAATTAAAATAGTTATGTTTGTCGTATCATCTGGAATGTTAGAATACATTAAAATAGTTGACCGTGAGCCTTTGATGGTTCTCCTTTGGATGGCCTTGTCTGATTAAGAGCACACTTTACAAACCAGAAGCAACATCTTTATCATTGGAAAGATATTTAGCAAACCTTTTCAAATGAACAATAAGAAAGGTAGAGGATACATATTATAATGCGCTTGTACCCTAGTTGAGATGGATGTATTAAAACAATATGCTAATAAATCTAGAATTGAATCACCAGTACTGTATTATTTTTTTTGCTGTCATCTCTTTTTCTCACTCACCAAAGGATACAAGTACCCTAGTTGAGATAATTAGGGAACAAAATGTATACCCATATATCACAATAGCCTCATTGAAACAAAGTCAAATTGGTTTAAGTTTTTTATGAACTCATCCCACTCATGGGAAGGTCGACAAGCACAATCAAACACTTGTTTAATTAGAATCTGAAGCTAGTATAGTGACTTCATCCAGCAAGTTAGTGACTCCATCCAACAAGTTTGAGACTATGTTTAGTGAGTTGACAACTTCATCAAGTATGATGATTTCGACCAATAAGTCGGAGACTTGATCCATCTAACAATTTGACAACCACCACACCCAAAATGTTGGCTAATACATCTAGCAAGTTGGGCTCGACCAAATCAATCAACAGCTCTAACCTTCAAGATGGAAGCCCAAGCAGTGATTATCTATATTGTTGGAGAAAATTGTGAGAAAAAATGATAAAAGAGAGATGAGAATGTGGAATAAGAGAAGTGCATAAATAATTTGTTTTTCATTAGCATTCATATTCACTATAACATTTAGTTTTAAACAAAAGCCAAACAAATAAATGATATAATAATGAAACACCTTTCCACTAATATCACTGTTTTAGTCTTTAATAACACTTAAATAATAAACTAATTTTGCATTAATTTTTATGACATAGCCCCTTAATGCAAAATTCTTACAACGATAAAATTTTATCAATATTGCTCAAATTTTTTAAAATTGAGATCTTTTGTTAACCCACCAACAACTTGATCTTCTATTGAATAATACTTGATTGCAATAGCTTATTTTGTCACAACTTCTCTCACAAAATGATATCTGAGTTCTATATACTTTGATCTACCATTAAACAACGAATTCTTCGTCGTAGATATTGTGGATTTATTATAACAAAATATATTTGTCGCCTTTAATTGAGGTTGCTGAAAATCCTCTAATATTTCTAGATTGCTTGACATGCTGCTAATGAAGTTGTAATATATGTAGCTTCTGAAAATGATATAGTACTAGGTTGCTTTTTTGTGCTCCAAGATGTTGCTTTAGACCCAAGATTGAATATAAATCTACTTGTGATTTTTTTCTATCTTCTTTGGGACCTACCCAATCATTATTAGTAAAACAAATTAAATTAAAGTTAGGAACTGATTTGTACCAAATCCCATGGCTAGTTTTCTCCCGAATGTAGCAAAAAATGCATTCGGCTGCTCTAAGATGATGTACAAAAGAATTATACTTGAACCTTGAAATACGATTGACTATGTACATAATATCAGGCCTAGTATATGTCAAACGCATAAGACCACCCACAATTTCTCTAAATACTATCTCATTGGCCTTAGTTATACAGTCATTCTGAACTAGCTTTTCATTTATATTCATGGGTGTTGAAAAAGTCTTACAAGTCTACATGCTATACTTTTTTAATAACTCCAATGCATACCTTTCTTTAGATATAAAAATCTCATCATCTACTTGAATAATTTGTAAGCCCAAAAAATAGTGCAACAACCCCGAATCAGCTATATCAAATTCTTTCATCATATCAACCATGAACCTTTCAATGAACACTTTGGATGACATAGAGTAGATAATATCATCAACATAAATACAAACAATAAGCAAATCATAATTTTTAGCTAACACATACAAGATATGCTCGCTTTTATTTCTATGAAATCCCTTCTTTTGAAAGTATAAACCAAGCCTTCAATATCATGCTCATGGTGTCGGTTTAAGCTCATAAAGTGCCTTCTTTAGTTTATAAACTTTATGCTGTGCCTTTAATAATAAAATCCAAGGCTTTTAAAACCGGACCGGACCGGCCGGTTCAACCGGTTGAACAGTGAACCGGCCGGCCGGCCGGTTACGGTTAGCTTCAGGACCTTTTTTGCATTGAACCGGAGTTGGACCGTGCGAACCGCCGGTTCAACCGGTGAACCGGCAAACCGGCTCCGGTTTTGTATAACCGGACGGTTCGGCAAACAGGTATTTTGGACCGTTGGATTTGATCAAGCGGTTCACTTTCATTTGAGTCCAAAGTGAAAAGTGAAAACAGAACAAAAAAAAAAACCCTACTTCACTTTCGTTCGGCTTCTCTTCCCGACTTCCCGTCCGCTCCCCTTTCGCGAATCCCTCTCGACGAGACGACGACTCATTTCTTTCTCAAAGCCGACCAGGAATCGAAGCTCCCTCTCGTTCTAAAGTTATCTTCTCCAACCACTGTGAGTTCTTCACATGCTTCTCCTTCTCGGCATCTTCTTGCATTCGGTAGTAGGCCGACGTCTCCTTCTCTCGGCTTCTTCTTGCATCAAATACATAAGACCACCCACAATTCCTCTAAATACTTTCTAATTGGCTTTAGATATACGTACCATCATTTTTAACTAACTTTTCATTTGTATTCATGGGTGTTGAAAAAGTCTTGCAAGTCAGCATATTATACTTCTTTAGTAACTCCAATACATATCTTTTTTAGTTATAAAAATTTCATCATCTGCTTAAATAATTTTTAAGACAAAAAAATAGTGCAGCAACCTCAAATCAATCATATCAAATTATTTCATCATATTAGTTTTAAACTTTTCAATCAACACATTAGAATATCCATAATACATAATATCATCAACATAAACACAGACAATAAGCAAAAAATTATTTTTAGCCAAAACATACAAAGTAGGCTCACTTTCACTTCTATGATATCGATCCCTTCTTTTGAAAGTATGAATCAAGCCTCCAATAATATGTCATTGGTGCCTGTTTAAGCCCATAAAGTACCTTCTTCAGTTTGTAAACTTTCTCCTCTTTGCCTTTAATAATGAAACCTTATGGTTGATCAATGTAGATATCTTCTTCCAAATCGCCATTTAAAAATATAAATTTAACATCAAGTTAAAAAATTTTCCACTTTATTTGTGCAGCTAACCCAAGCAGTAGTCTAACGATTTCAAATCTAGCAATAGGAGAAAAAGTTCCATAGAAATCAATACCATATTTTTTGTTCACAACCTTTGACAACAAGCCATATTTTGCATCTTTTTATGCTTCCATCTGAATTATACTTCACCTTGTAAATCTACTTTACACCAATTGGATCTTTTTCTTGTAGCATATCAATAAGCTCCCAAGTATCATTCTTCTTAATATATTGAATCTCCTCTTTTATAGCATTTTCTCATTACTTATTTTCGCAAGTATTTGCATAACATAATAGTTCTATATCCACAAGGGCAAATATACAATCATGCAACTCATGTAAATATATCACTTTCTATGATGCCTTTCTACAAATGTGATTGAATCTACTGATCTTGGACTTGAAAGAAATGAATTAGACGATGAATCACCAATAACTTCTTGATTGTTAGTGATATCAATTTGATAATTATCCTCAAATTTAACTAATGATTTTCCTTTATAATGAATTGCATATTCACTCCAATCCCTCGTACCATCTTCATTAAAAATAACATCTCTAACAATAATGATCTTCTCAGACCGTGGATAAAAAATCTGTATGCCTTTGACTGAATGATGTAACCAATGAATATCAAACTTTTAGATTTGTTATCCTACTTTCTGCTATTATGACTATCCTTCAATGTATATGCAATACTTCCAAATATATATACTTTCAAAGGACTAACTCCATGTTTTCTACCATTCCATGCTTCATAAGGTATAATATTTTGAATACACTTTATTTGAGAAATATTCAAAATATAAATAGCAGTTGTAATAGCTTCAGCCCAAAATATATTTGGTAAATTCTTCAACTTCAACATACTTCTTGCCATCTCTACAACATTTTTATTATTTCTTTTCATAACCCCATTTCGTTGTAGTATATTAGGAAATGTTAATTATCAAATAATTTCATACTTGTCACAAAAATTATCCAACATTTGATGTAAACTCTTCACCTATATATGTTAATGGAATTTTAATATTCTTTCCACTTTGATTCTCCATAATTTCTTTAAAATGCCTAAATTTACATAATTTTTTAGGAAGGGTCAGAATCCAGTGGAGTGAGAATAGATTTGAGATTCAGATTTATTTTATTTCCGCATTTTCTTTAATTTTATATTTTAATATTCAAGAACTAAAAGATAGACTGATAAATAAAGGGATTGAACTATTGACTATTGTATATGAATTTTCATTTGCTTACGTTGGATTGATTTATATTGATAGATTCATAGAAGTTCTGTTTGATTAATAAAGATATTAAAATAGAAAATTTTTCCAATTTTTAATCTTAGGGTATTACGCTGTTGACCCATCGTCCCACCTCCACCTCCCATCACCTCATCTCGCGATGTCATTGCCACCCTCCTTGCAATTTCCTCATCCTCCCATCCTATCATCATCACCTCAATCATGCCATCATCAACATCCTTAATATATAGCCTCCATCCTACTACATGTGATCAGAACACCACATTTTCAATCCTATCGATCTCATTAATATCGCCATCATCATTGACCCAACCTTTGTTGTGTCCCGCTCTATTGCCCTGTCACTTCAATAATATATATAAAAGAGATATTTCATTATATTTAAAATGCATCATATCGAGAAAAAAAATATTTCATTGTATTTGATTCTCATCAAATCAAATAATTCTCTAAATTCAAACTATGTATCACAAAATTATTATTTATTTACATATCTTATACCTAAATTTTTATATTTATTTACAACATTTTAGGATCTAAATCACATAAAAAGGTATGCATGAAAATGTGTATTATATTTTAAATTAATTGATATTAGTTATACTTTATTATAATTTAAAGAGAGAGTAGTATATAAATGAATATAAAATTTAATCATTGTAATGTAAATAGATACATATTTTATAATATGCATGTAAATCCTTTTTAATTTTTCTTATATTTTAAAATAATTGCATTTTAAAATCATAGCACCATAAATGTTGATTTATTAAGAAAAGTCGTACTGCACAGATGAATGGACGGCTATGATGTGCTGGTGACGTGGCTCCAACGGAAAGGATCAGTGATAGGTTACCAGCGAAAGCTACCTGGAAACTTTTCGGGGTTGTGGCCAACCGTTCCTATAAAAGCCAAGGGCAACAGCGTAACAAGACTCTGTCAGAAAAAATTATTCATTTGAAATTAAGTTTGAATTTTTTTTCCTGAGTATAAAACACCGGCGGCCTCCACCCTCCTCGTTTAAAGCAGCGCTGTTGATCTCGCCGTCGGCGGCCTCCTCCTCTCACTTCCTTCCCAACATTTTCCTGCCGGAGGAGGCAGTGCCATAAGCTAAGACGAACATATCGTTCTCACCGGCGGCCTCGGCTTTTCTGTCGATCCCCGCGTTTTCTTCCGATACCCTTTTTTTTTCTTTTACTTTCCTTTGAAGGCTTTTCATCGAAAGGTATTCATACCGAATTTTAAAAATTTATTCGTTTAAGGAGTTGGATGGTAGAAATATCTTACGCTAGTCTTATTAAGCATAGAAGAAGGAACCGGAAGAAGTTGAACCTAACCTGGCTTCGGGCATTACTAGAGGAAAATCATGAAGAAGGCAATGCAGAAGGAATCCTTCGCTTGAAGCTGATTTCTATGGAACTGTATGCCTTTGCTGATCAATATGACGCTTTACATTGTACGAGAGGCTGTGAAGGTATATAATTCCTTTGACGATGGATGTGTGAAGTCATTTAGTACATGGTTTGTGGGGAAGTGATTCTGGTCTTTTCACAGTTATGGAGGAAGATTGCAATGGAGACTTGTGTAGAACTACAAATTTTTATGGAGAAATGGAAGCTTCTGCTTGCGGGGCTCTTTTTTCAGGTAACGTTTCTTGTATTGGTTGTTCTTTATGAACATAGACGTAGGAAATATGGAAAATTTTGTCCAAAGGCTAATTTTATTTTGTGTATTTTAGATGATTTAATTGCATTCGCTATCGTTATGTTGATCGTCTCTTTGCAAGTTATTATTTGATGTGAGCGTTTTGGTACCGAAGTTGGTTTTTGATGAGAAAGCCGCAAATGGTGCATAAACAGAGGATTTGGCGTCTCGTAGTTTTATCATGTTCATAGAACGCTTACAAAAAAAGAAACTGTAATGATCATATTACTTTTTTTTATCTGATTCCGACGATTATATATTGAGTTGGCTTATTGGTGGACAAATACGCTTTATTGGTAATGAATTGGCCGCTTTGTTTCTGGAAAATCTGGCATGTCTCAATTTGGTTTGTGAAAAAAAAAACGTGCAACTGAAAGCCTACATTTAATGTGCATCTCCTCCAAGGATTCACAATCATGGTTGATATATCATAAAATAATTATCTTGACCGGGTACAAATCTAGGGGCAAATTCGAATTAAAAACTTTCAAAATTAAATCCGAGGCTATCCGAACTCCGATTTCAACAAACTTACAGTTGAATTGAACATCTCAAGGAGACGAGTCCAACAACACCAAAGTCAGTCCAATCCGAGCTCGAATGAACCCAAATCAGAGGACCAAAGTCTACTTATAAGCTTCAGAATATTAATTGGATGACCAAATGCTATTTAAATGTGACATGCTTATAGTCAAATTGAGGGGTTCAACAAGACAAGCCCAAGACCGTCGAATTCTGACTTCATTAAGACACTCAAATGCTCGATAAACGGTCCATGATTGAGGGAATTGATATCAGTCATTTATTGAAACACTCCAAACATATTCTTGATTTTCTTTCTATTTACTAGCTATGACACTCTCATAAAACTATAAATAGACCGCTCATTTTTCACTGAAGAAGGAAGCAAAAAAGAGAAAGAAGAGAATAGAGTCTAACATTCAAACAAGTTCAACCCACTTCTTAGACTATTGTAATTTGACCACCTCAAGTCTAGGGACGGGACAATCTTTGTAACATATTCAACAATAGTAGAATAGTTTCGACTAGGTGTGGCCAAGTGGATTTTTTTTACTTCTTCAGGGTTTTTCACGTAAAAAATTATGGTATTTTTAAGTTCTCTGTTTATGTGCTGGATATATATGTAACAATAGGATGAAAAATTGTCTTACTTTACCATCGCAAATATTCTAGCCCACAATAATGGTCATTGCACTTGCTGTGCAACGACATGTAGATTATAAAACCTTGTAATTAGAATGATTATTTGTATGTCAGGCTCATCTTTTGTATATACATATCGGGAATTGAATAATTTATGCAACCATGGATATGTTATCTTGGCTTGACCCTTTGGTTCATTGTTTTAGTCTTCTCCGGCAGTGAGTCTTGCTTCATGATGTGGCTAGTATAGAGACTGGTTGTGACTTTTGAATTAGTTTGGGTTGTTTATTAGTGGGTCTCTCCACATAACTAATCAATGATGTTACAGTCCTTATATTATGAACTATCAAAATTTATTTTGAATTATTATTATTATTATTATATTGATTTACCTACATAGTATGAAAAATGTTAGAATTTACATATTTAATACCTAAACTTTACTATTTAAATGCATAACACAAAAATAAAAAATATCACCACCCCTAACCATCTTGTCATGGTGCAGCCTGATCTTATCACCTTCTCCGCTAGTCCCGTTGCCATTCACAGGCTGTCGGTTGGCCTCCTTGAACCCGTTAATATAATCTATGGTGAGAACTCATCTGCTACTATGACCTCGTACAAGCTGGATATTCCACTCTAATCCATCCGCCCCAGCAACATGGTCCTACCCAATTACAAGTAATGCACCACCCACAACTTCTTCACTGCTTCCTTTGTGGCAATGCCCCATTAAATTAACCATTCTAGCTCCTCCGTGGATGGCCTAATCCTCCTCCGAGATCAGCTATGTCGCCATCTTTGCCATGTGTGCACTTCTAACCACCTTTGTTCTTCTCGCCTTGTGTTTGACAAGTGTCTAGCAATACCCAGTAACTTAGTTATCGAAGTACTAAATGTCATAAATAGTGAAGTTTAATTATTAAATATATAGATTTTATTGTTTTCAGTGGTATGTAAATCTCCCATTTATTATTACTACTACTTGTGACATTTTGTTCTTTAATAATCACCACTGTTGATCATTACATCAAATAAAAAGATTGGGGGTTGAAGTTAGGTTGACAATTAATCATAAAACTCATCTCGAATTGTCAAAACTAATGAAATGAATTTAAATTTGAATTTTTCTATTGCTAGGGCATACCTTAGAAGCACCATACCATGAACTATCATAATTATTGTTAGTAGGTAATGGTATACTAGAATGCTTAACTTTAGTGTTGCACCACAACTTAATCTGATTATTTTGAAAAGAAGAAAATGGTGGGCTAGGACATAACCCATAAGTGACACACTACAATTCAACTCAATTATGGTGAAAATAAACAAGGGTTAACTTGTTCTAAATCTAATATTAAATTTGCTTCATATAATTCAAAAATTTAGAATGGAAATATTAGAATTAGTAGACATAATGATTATGTGAAGAAAAAATATTTCTTCATTAGAGGAAACTAAATGGAAAGAAAGGGAATTCCTAATAATTTATAATAGTTATATTTATATTATATGTTTGAATTGTTAACAAATAATAGAATGAATGAGGTGGGGACATTATGAATGAAATTGGAATTTATGCTTCTCAAGTAGAAGATAATTCTACAAATTAATGTTGAGACAAGATATATTAATTACTACAACATATATTTAGGAAGAAAATATATCTTGTCGAGGTGAGTTAAATAGATGTATATATTCTAGTCGGGCGGACTATGAGAAAGACTCAGTTATAAAATATGAAATACTTCATTGTTTAAATTAGTTCTCATTGGAGCGAGAAGTAAATATTTTTTTTGAATTGAAATTTCTCATGAGAGGAGAGAGATATAGATAGATTGAAAGAGATGGAGAGAAAGAGAGATTCCCTTTTAGCTTATGCTTGCATTGTGCTCCCTTGTTAAGCTACCTCCAAGGAAATCTATTCACGTCTAGGCTTGGAAGGTAGCAGAGTAAGGTTAAAAGTGGATAAAACAACTTGATGTTATCAATTGAGGTATGAATCTCAATGTATTTGAATTTTCTTTTAAGAAATTTTCAATTTTCATGTAAAATGGGAATATTCTAATGAATTGAAGTATGAATGAAATTTATAATTAATATGATGTTTTCTCTAAGTCTAATTAAAATATTTTAAAACAAGTGGAAGACTAAGCAAGCAAAAATACCACTAATAAGCATATTTTAATGAGGTTGAATATAAACCATGTGAATAAATATAAGAGTATGTTTATCATGAGGCTAAAAGAATTTATAATTCTACTCTAGATCATGATAAAACTAAAACTTACTTTAGTATGAATGTTATAATTTGTAACCTTGAAATTAAAAGTATGCTAAAACAAACACAATTCTAAAACATGAGTTTAAATGAAAATTTCAAAGTTAAGCCAAGAATATATTTTATACATTTTTATAATTAAAGAAATTTTGCTTCAAAGAGATAAGTTAAGTTTGCTTGAGACTTAAAGTAATTTCTGCACCAAAAATGAAGTTAGGAAGATGTTAGAATTATTCCAAACTTGTTACTTCATATCATGCATTCTAAATATTTGATAGTCCATAAAAAATTTTTGTACTCCAAACTAAAACTTCAGCAGTCCTCCATGGTGATAAACCTACTTGGATTTTTATACCCAAGCAAAATTGGGTCCACCAATATTAGTGCTTAAAGAAGTGCATATTTGTGTAGTTTGCGAGGAACTATATAATTTGTTTTGTGAGATGTTTGTTTGTATAATAATAACGGTAGTATTTACAGATCTAATAGAGTGAATATATGCTTCATTTTATTTTCTATTACAGTAAGCAAAGATTATGTTCAGAAAAGCATACTTTAAGAATCTTTCAAGTCTATATTTCTTTCTAGAAGGAGAGCTGGTAAGCACATGTGATTTATGTTAAGAAGTAGAGGCAAGCATACAACAACAAGAATAATTAGTGAAGTAAAACTAGTATGCAATTTAGATTTGCAACGTTCATGTGAAGCATTTAAGAATGTAAAAGATATACTAGTAGATGTAATCAATAAATCTTTCAGTTTTAATTTACGACTAACATTCTTTTTTTTAAATGCATCAATCTTTAACTTTAAAACATCCAAATTATTATTGCTACTAGAAGTGGAAGCATTTAATAAGTCATTCAATAAATAGACACTCTCAACTTCTAGAATTTAATCCTCCTGTCCAATCAAATATTATTACAAAAAGTAGAATAACTTCATGAATTAGAAGATAATTCATTTATTTTAGTAGTCAAGCTAGTTCATTGTCAAGATAAATAATCTTATCTTATGATTTTTTTAAATATTTTTCATAAGATATCCTTTTTCAAATTATCAAGAAGACTTTGATTCTTTCTTGTTGGACTTATACTTCTCTTTTAATTTTTACAAATTATTAGTCATGTCATCAAAAGCATTAAATAATTCTTCATAAGAAACACTTGCATTGCTTTCAGTGTCTGAATTATAGAAGTTTTTTGGATTTTCTTTATATTCTTTCCTTTTGACTTCTTCTTCTTCATTTTCTTCTTCTTGGAGAGATGTTGCAAATCATCCTTTGTTGTACTTGGACATTCTCCCTTATGCCCTCACATTTTTAATCACTAACTTTCTCACTTGACGTTTGATCCAAGCTAAAAAAAATAGTGAGAGAGTTAAAGACTAATTTATTACTTTTTAGGTTGTTAAATATTTTATCAGGGGTGTCAATAAATAACTCGACTAGCCAAATCAACCCAAACCCATCCCGAAAAGCTGGGTTCTACTCGACCCATTTAATAGATGGATTGGGTTTGGGTTGAGTTTTTCAATTTATTTATTAGGCGGGTCGAGTTTAGGTTGACCCGCAAACCCTCTTTTGACCTGTTCAATATCATTTTTCCTTTTTTTTTTCTTGTGGGCATAATCTTTTTATTTTTTTATCAAATAACCCCAACTTTATAAATAATAAGTTATAAAAAATTTTCTTTAACCAAAATGGGTTAATGGGTCGGGCTTTGGTTGATCATTTTGACCCGTTTATAAAACGGGTTTGGTTCAGGTTAATTGGATTCACATCAACTCAATTTTAGGTCGCATTTGAACCTGACTCATCAACCCATTTTGACACCCCTATAATTTATGATCATTTGATAATAAAATTTAATGAAAATATGAAATTGCTAAAAATTTAATTTATGTAGCTTAAATTCATTGTGAGAATGTAATTCACCATTCAAAAAGTTGCCACGATATAATATTAATAATTTGAAAAAAAAACTCATATGCTAATTTTCCAAGTTTCAAATTTATTTCATAAAAAATTGGAGTACAATCAAAATATTGATCGGGATACTAAATAAAATTAGAATTGTTTGCTATGGGATCTTTACTTTAGAAAGTTAAGTTTGTTAAAAGAATATTAAGCGCATTTGCTCTAATACTAAATATAGAGTTAAGATGAACCAAGAGGTTGGGTTGTGGGTTGGGTGTGTACTTTTCACACTTCAAAATTTTCTTATGAAATTCAATCCAACTCATACCCCACACAACTGAACATAATGTAATGCAGAAGCTATAGAAATAACCATGCATACTAGAAGCTATTGTATAACTACCCATAATAAAAGTTATAATATGATATGCAGGAGTTATAAGTATGAAGACTTGATAGACTACCAAGCACATGAATATAGATATGATATACACAATGTTTATATGCTAATGCTAATGCAAATAGTATTTACATAATTAACCACAATTAAAAAGGTTACAATCATTAATAGAATAGAACATATATTTGTAGTTTAATACAATCCTACCGATGATACCATGCAAAATAACTGCAATGTAGATATTTAATCAAACTATGTGTGTAAATTACTATTAGGCATAATGTTCATGGTCACTTCAACTTCACTATTTAGTTCTGTTTAATTTTTTACACAAACAGTTAAAAAATAGATAATAAATGATTACAATAACTACATGCACAAATGTAGGTAATAAATAATATTGGAAATGATATGTTATAAAATGAGTAAATTAACTTGAGCACAATATAATTAATATACCACTCAACTATGTAGCTACAGAAACTTGTAATAAATTAGCTTGATACTACAAAGATGATAACATAATTAAGCAAAGATGTTGAATAAATGATTAATCTAATGAGAGTGTTGAACGATAAACATAGTTACATAAGATAATTATATTATAATAGTTTATAACGTTAATCTTATGAGACATAAAAATACAAACATCCTCATAATAACAATATGATAGTGACAGAAATAAAACTATGCTTAAGTTGGAGTAACTTGTCAAGCATAATGATTAAGTTTATTACTTATACATAAAGAGCATTTAACCAAGTAGCTCACTCTATGAACATAAGAGTTTAGATAACAATTAAATGTGTAAGTGAGTTAAAATTAAATTATGGAAAAATATGGACATTATCTATATTTATTTGGTTCATCATATCCAATGGCCTATGTCCATGCCTAGCCCCTAACTTAAATAACAATTTTACTCTGCATGCCTGTAATCGCAAACTCACTTATTCACTATATGCCGTGGTGAAACCCCTCACAATATTTTCCTTATGAAGTATACCCTCATAAGTCTATGCATAATAAATCTATAGGAAGACCTTTCTTCGAAGTCTTTGAATATTTTGGTGGTGACTAAAGTTATCACCAAGTGATGCAAGGATCAGTGCAATTTACAGAATAATTGCAAAGTGATATAGAGTAAGTACAACAAAAGAATACTACAATCTTGAGAAATAAAAATTGCTCTTAACTTTTACTTAAGGGATTGAGAGGATGAAAGCTTCGATTTATTTTCCTTCAATGTGATAGAGCCTTAATACTCAAAATAATCTCTTTTTGATATATAAAAATATGAGTGGAATATCAACAACTGATTTGCAAAAGTTATATGTTTATATATAGAGTATAATAGGAAACTAAAAGCTCTACTGAATTAACTAAAAATGGAAGAAATTAGTTACCTTATGTTTATATTGAATTAGTCATCTGCTACCAAAAATAGGTCAATTCCCTATAAAAGTTATCCAAGGGTCGATAGCTTCTTTACGGTGACCAACTAATAATTACATTCTAGTTCAAGAGTTTTGTGAGTTTACGGCTTGACACAACAAGTTATCAGTCAACCATTAGCTGCTATATCAATTTTATGTATAAATATTTAGTAAATTAATTCATAATTTATGCATATATGTCAAGTCTAATCAAGCCCTGTTATTTGAAAATATTTTAAATAAGCTTATTTATGTAATTAAAATAATTCAATTAATTTTAATTTTTAATTAGTGTTCAATCATTTCTAAACATTTTAGGGGTTGACTAATCCATTAATCAATCATACATTGAAATACTTAAATACATACACTTAGCTATTTTTTGATCTCTTTCACTTTGCCTCCTTGAAATAATTGCAGCATCATTTATAACAAGCTTTAAGCTGCGAAGTCACCAAGCAACCTAGTGGAACAAACATCATTACCATAGTCCATAGTTTAGTTAATACATGTATAAAAAGGGAGAGGAAGGGAGACAGAAGAGTAGTTGGAGGATGGTTAAATTTATTTTCAAGCTTAAAGCAATTTCTACACCCATAACTTGATAGCTCATCTTTGTCCAACTTCATCTTAACATCGACGACTAACGCCCTCTCAACATCGACGACAAACACCCTCTTGACATCGACGCCCAATACTTATTGCATAACATCGATGTCCGACTCTCGACATCCTAATATTAAACTCTCGACATCCTAATATTAATCATTTTAATCATAAATTTTAGTTAAATGACTTATGATTTCTAAATTATTTTTAATAATATACTTATTTAATTTTTATATACTATTTTTAAAATATAAAAATTATAACACTATGTCTAACCCATGTCCGTGTTCTATATTTTCAATAATTGACGTGTCCCGTGTCCATATTGTGTCTTATCCGTGTCATAATGTTCGTGTCTGTGCATCATAGGATTGAATCAAATGGGGACCAAAGTTGGGAAAGATATAGTAGTAATCATATTTATTTTAAACCTAAAAGTTTAAGCCTATAGATGAAGCCAACCACTTGATATTTCTACAACAGTATATTTTTCAACTATCGAATGTTGGATTGAACACAAACAGCTTTACATGTCTTAGCAAGTAGCAAGTAATTACCAAAGATAGGGCATAGGGCTAATAGTGGTGAAAGGTAGGCTGGAATTTATAGGCATCTGTGTAGATGAAAAAGAGTCCAAGGACAGTTGAAAAGTAGGGTGGAATTTGAAGGTATCTGTGTAGATGAAAAAGAGTCCAAGGACATTTGAACATAATTGTCATTTAAGGAATATTTGACAAATCCTGTATAATTTAATGTCATTATATTTATCAATAGGGAATTTTGTATTGAAATTAACCTTTTACTGTAATCTAATCTTTATGCATCATTCATTCTTTAATAATTTTTGTTTATTCACCAAATTGTGCATTATTTTAGAGATTTCCATTCTAATTTTGTGTGATTGTAGTATGTTCATGGGGTTGCTGCTCACGGGATTCATTATTTACATCGACCCGGACCTATTCTACATGATCTTGGTTTCAGTCTCCTTCCGGTGTGTAATTCCTCGAGGCTTGTTTGAATGACATGAGTATTGAGCCAACCTTCATGCCGGTTTTCTTACTTGCTCTTTTTATTTTAGGAGATAGGGCCAGATAAAGCCTATGTCAGCGAAATCTTTTTCTCTGTCATCTTTTTCTCCTTTATATTGGTATGCATTCTTTTCTTTACTTCAGGCTATTTTACGTTTTTTCTGGTCAACTTGAGTTTTTCATTCTGATAATTCATTTTGTTATTTCTGATACTGGATTTATTGTCCCTTTTTAATATCCTTCTTTGTTTAGTTTACCTGCATTTTCTGCTACTTACCCAATCTATAGGTCAAGTTTGGTATTTCGTACTGTCTCCTATGTTCATGAGACATTTACTACCAATTAAAACAAGTACAGACAATGTGCAAGCATTAAAAAATTATACCAACATAGATGCTGACGGCATATGAACTTCAATATGGTTCCTTCATCTTCCTTGTTTTGTGTAAAAACCTTAAAGCTGCAAAAAAGGTCTTAAAGCTGTATTTTGAATCTCTAAAAGATTGGTTTATTCAGGTCATTGCTTATTCATTCATTCTTAAAATTGCTTCTTTCTTCATTATCATTTGGCTTTCGCTACGTTATTGCTAAATGCTGTAAACAATGAAAGCAGATTAATTGCTTGCACTAGTTTGCTTATTAGAACCTTTCAATTCTTATGTTAATGATGCTCATTAGATTGACGACCATATAATTCGTCTCATAATCTCTGACGTGCTGACCAACACCATATTATTTGCTGTATTCACGGAAAGGATCCCTTACTGATGATAACGTATTTTACCCTTGCACTTTCTTTATTTGTAGGAATTGAGCCTTCCTAACCTAGTTGAATTTCCCAGGATTTTCCGTGTTGGGAGTGCTTTGTATTAATCATATCACTATTGCCTTCTGCTTATGATGCATCAGTTATTTTAATTCCTTTGTTTTCCTTTCTTTTCCAACGTACGAAGTAATTTGAAGTTTTGCAGTGGACATTCTATCCTTTCATTTATCATAGCAAACGCTTCTACACAGTTCTGCTATGGCGTAGAGTGTTGGCAATTTTAGTTGTAAGTTCAAGTTAGTTTAGTCATCTGTTATATTGCCGTTTTGAACTTTCCTTCTTACAGATGAAGATTATTCCTGCAGACTTGCCAGGCTTTGAGGATCATCACATTCTACTCTACACATCTTCCAGGTCCAAACTATCACTGCCGCAAGGTAATAATATATGTAGAAATTGTTAGATTTGCCAAAGATTTTTGCGGAAACTCATATACTGACTGGCATGGAAATAACTTTTTGAGAACTTATTCGTTGCTTTGGATTGCTTGGCTATCAACAAATGTACAAATGTCATTTGTCATAGGATCTATTCAGTTTGGCCTTTTCTTAATCAAATAGGAAATACAAAGGAAATAATTTGTCTATTGCTAATAACTTAGAATAAAATCTCCATATGACGTGCAGGGTTCAAAGTATGCCACACTCGCTCCTCCTGAAAGAATATTGGATCTATTTCTCATTAATGGTATGCCATCAGTTTTCAATATGTTTCCATTAATTACAGGAGCTCATTTATCATTTGGACATTTATTGTTTCTTGCTTTTATTTGCAGTCCGTGGAGTCTTTTATGGTTGTGGCGATTTGATTTTTTCATCTCATATGATATTTACACTGGTTTTTGTTCTCACATACTATAAATATGGTTCTAAAAGGTATAACCAAGCTAAACTCTTTTTTCTCTTCATACAAATGATGTAAAACCCAATGGCTCATTTGCAGTTACTGTTTCATTTCTTTTTTCAAAGGTGCTTACCTATTGAATGTTTGGTTGTGTTATTGTAGGTTTATTAAAATGCTTGCATGGTTGATGGCAGTCATACAAAGTCTTCTTATAATAGCTTCACGGAAGCATTACAGTGTTGATGTTGTGGTTGCATGGTTAGTGAGTGAGCCATTTCATTCGTTGAAATACTTTTACTTCGATATGTTTTTGAGTTCCTTAACTCAGTCAAATTCTTTACATGCTAGGTATACTACAAACTTGGTGGTATATTTTATTGATACAAAATTGACAGGTTTGCCAAATACATTTTCGGATAAATTGTGTTTTTCTATTGCTTCTCTTCTAAAGCCTGGAACTAACTGTCACTGTAATTAAATTTGTATTATAATTCTACAGAGATGCCTGACCGTTCTAATGGAAACCAGCCATTGCTCCCATTAGTCGCTAAAGAGAAAGAAAGCAAATCGGACGAGACCCACAAGCTATTGAATGGTAATTCAGTCAATGAGCTTGATTGGGTGAATATCTTTAATATGAAATGATCTCTTTTATATGTTTCTGTCGGTTATGGTTTAGAATTTCATTTAATTGCCTTTGGGAAAGGAACTCAGCTTACGAGATTTTTGGGAAAAGAACATAGAGCTTTAGAGCTTTTTGGAAAGATAATCTAGAGCTTTTTTCTATGATATTACATGTAAGTGACTCATCACAATTTAAACCTAGTTATGGTAAAAAAATATGAGGGTTGTCTAGGACTTCACTCACAAGTGACACACCACAACTTAACCTAATTGTGACTAAAAGTAGTTGAATGTTGGTGGACAAAGTAATTATAGAAAGATAAATATTGCTTATTTGTTAGAAATTAAATGGATGGGGTAAGCCATGGACATTGCGGAAGATTATAATCTCATATTTTGAAGAGAATGATCAAATTTTTACCATAGAAATCAACATCCATTTAGGTTTCGTTTGGGATTGCTTTCTTATTGCTTTTTAAAACTACTTTCTAGTACAAAAATTAAATAATTTGTACTAAAAAGCTGCTTTAAGAAGCAGAAAAAATGCGGCTCCAAACGAAGCCTTAATGTGGATGCAAAGTTGGAAATGCCACCATAGAATGGTTTAGCCAATGCAAAGGTAAATAATTGGTATGATTAGACCTAGCTTCAACAGATGTGGGAGTGTATTTATGATTTGGTGAACAGCTACTTAAGTCCCCTTTTCAAGCTCTGATTTTCTACTTCACAATGTATGGTGGATAAGCAGTTGGCATAGACAGCACTCTTGGCATAGTGGTTGTTGACCTAAATGACTTGTAGTTCTTCACTTAGTTAATAGGAGAAAATTAAGGTTCAAACGTTCCAAGTTGTGGGCACTCATGGTGTTCTTATTTTGTTCTTCATTTATCTCTTTACAGTGGATTTCTCATGTCTTCTTGCCTTTTGACCAATCACATAACTCCAAATCTTTTATCTTAATTTATTGTCATTTAATTTTAGTGGTGTCTATTTTCCAATTTTCCTAGATTTATTCTTAGTCCTCTCTTGTCAAAGACATTGCTACATCGATTCCTCTCTTGTGATTGATGTCAATTAGCTCAGTTGATAAAATTCTTCAAAGTTATTATTAAAATATTCTTCTAACATCAAATTTATATTTCAGTACTCAAAATTAAAAAAAAGAAAGAAAGAAAAAAACTGCCATTGTGGTGGGGTTTTACACATGTTTTTTGTATTCATTTTATATTTACTGAACTTATACTGCAATACTAAGGTTTCGTTTGGGAAACTTTTTTTTATGCTTTCTAAAATAAATTTTTAGTGCAAGAATTTCTTGAACTAAAGTTTCGTTTGGGACGGCTTTCTTATTGCTTTTTAAAGCAGTTATTTAGTAAAAAAATATTTTTTTTTTTTGCATTAAAAGGCTGCTTTAAGAAGAAAAAAAAAACTGTCCTAAACTAAGCCTAAAAATTTTTGTATGAAAAAGCTGCTTTAAAAACAGCGAAGAAGTTGTACCAATCGAAACCTAGAAGTACCATATCTAACATCTAAGTTTGTTATAAACTATTCTATGATTTCGATTTCAGAACTATAGGAACCAGGCGAATGGGAAGCATCTAGAAGACCGGAACTGTGTACATTCTGAAACAACAAAGAATGGCAGGCAGATAGGTGATGCCACACAGTTGTAAGGCTGATGATTCGTAATTCAATGGGAACCTCCATGCCGAGCATTTGAACTAAGAGAAATGGGCGGCAGTTTCTTTTACTGTTGTGGTAATCTTTCCCTTACCAAACGGATAATTCTGTTTTTGAAGCAGAAATCTTTCGTAATTCATTAACATGAAACAGAAGTCAAATGTCTATATGTCCCTTACAACATATATTTTTTTATTATTTGATTTCTGCTATGGTTTCTTTGAGTAGCCTTCGTGAAATTATTCTGTGCGGATATGGACGCCGTTCGGATACGAATTAGAACATGTCACGTTACCTTTTGCTGTGTACCGCTGTGTAATGGGTGACGTGCCACATTCTGATTCACCTCCAAATGGTCTGATGTACGCACAGAATAATCGAAGTACAGAGCCCATTAAATTTAGCTCATGATGTCAAAAATATCTTTGGTCTATATGATTTTATGTTTAAAATAGCAAAATAAATATTCAAACCGGGGAGCTGTATCATTGGGAAAAGCCCTATCGAAAGCTATTTATACTGCTGAATTTTTAATTAATGTATTTTCTTAGGAATTTGATTTAATTTATATACGTCTAATGATTTTGGAATAAAAAATAATGATATTATTTATACTTTTACATGAAAACAATATTTCCACTATAATCTTGTATAAACGTAAAGCAATTTTTGAATAATTAAAAATAATTATATATATATTCTACTAAATAATAAATAGTTTTAAAATTTTATTAGAATTAAACTATATAGATCAACAGACGTGGAATTTTTTGCTTCAATTTATTTAGCCATTTTTCGGAATAGAATATTAAAATTAATTTTTTTAAAAAATATTTTAGCATATTTATTTACTTAGGATTTCCAAAGCAAGTTTGAGCCACTAATTGCAAACTTTATGGCTCTAATCTTGTAACTCTTAAGAGTTCAAATAAACTAGAGAGATCTTGTAGAGCTCCATAATGCCTTGAAGTACCTTGAACGTTTCCATAGGTTTTGTTTTGGGCTGATTTTTTAATACTTTCTAAAGCATTTTTTATAGTACATAAATTTTTAGCTCAAAAAATTATTTATACTAAAAAATTATTTTAGAAAACAATAATAAAGTTGGCCCAAAAAATCCTTAAATTTCTGCGATCTTCATGTGATGTAGTGTCATTTGTACAAAAATTTGTTTAAAATTCATAGTCTGGAATTATTTATTTTAGATATTAGCTCTTTTAAATATATGGTTGTTAACATTAAGAGTCTATTTGGATTAGTCACAATATTTTGTAAAGATGATTGTGAAGAAAATATATATTTTTTAAATATATTATGAATATTATATATATAGTAGCTCTTTTATAACTGAAATTTAAACAAATAACAAAAAATAAAATAAAATAAAATTATGACTGTATTCTGAAAAATAAAACAGTGAAAGAGCTACACAAATAAACCCTAAAATTGAGCTCCTAAACATGATGAGATCATGAGGGTGACAATCTCTTATTTTTCTATGATAATAAATTAATGTTGAGAAGAGATAATGATGACATTGTAAAATAACTTTCCTTCCCATTTTAAATCCAATCATAAAATATTAACTTCAAAAATGTATCTCACATCCCTCAGAATGTACATATGATATAACTTCTTAAAGCAGCTTTTTAGTACAAAAAGCTGGACAATATTTTATTTAATGTTAAGTGGGTCTCTTTTTTTTCTAACACTATTGTTCATCATCTTAGTAGAACTATTTTTTATCATGCCCCATTGTTGATTTCTATAAATACTCATATTAGTAAGGGGCTATCTCCTTTTCGTTTTCAAAATATGTGATTACATTCTCCTGATTTCTATATGGTGGTTAAGATAAATTGGCGGTCTCCTTTACCTTATTATGATGATAATAATGATATTACTTTATTCTCTTTCAAATGCAAGCGGCTTAAACAAATTTTAAGATGGTGGGACAAAAATGTGTTTGATAATATCTTTGAGAATATTACTAAAGCTAAATATAAGTTATGTTGATGGAGGATAACTTTATCCTAAATAGATCTAACGAGGATAAGACTGTTTTAATCAATGCTAAAAAATTTCTTTTGGATCTTCAATTCTTGGAAGAGGAATATTGACGTCAAAAAGCTATTTCTAAACCTCTAACTGATGGGGATAGTAATGCTAAGTATTTCCATACTCGTGCTAAGAGTAGGAAAGCTAAATCTTACATTCACAATATTAAACAGTATGATTGTACTTATTTGGAGTAAGAGGAGGATGTTGCTAACTCTGCTATCGATTAGTTTAAGAATATTCTTGGTATCTCCAAAATTATGGAACCTCTATATAATCCTTCTTTTATTCCTACTATTATTAAAGATGTTGATAATCTTATGATTAATAAGTGTTCTGATGAAATTGAGATTCATAATGCCCTTATGGATATGAACAAGGAAGCTGTGGCAGGTCCTGATGGCTTCACTGTTTCTTTTTATAAAAAATCCAAAAATATTATTAAAGATGACCTTTGTAGAGTAGTTTTTGGTTTTTTCAATGGTATGGCTATTTCTAAATGTTTTACTAACACATCTACAGTTCTTATTTCTAGATGTCATATCCCTAACTATTGGTCTAACTATATACTAATTAGTCTATGCTACAGTTTTAATAAGATCATTTCAAAATTTCTTGCTTCTCGTATGACTAACATTCTTCCCAAAATTATCTCTCAGCATCAAACTAGTTTTGTTAAAGGGATGAGTATGTGGATAATGTTCTATTAGCTCAAGGACTTATTCAAGATATTAATGTGAAAGTCTTTGGTAGAAACATAGTTATAAATTGAACATCTCCAAAGCTTATAATAATATCAACTAGGATTTTATCAATAAAGTTCCACAGCTTTGTGGCTTTAGTGATGCTTCTATTGTTTTAATTTTTAATATTATTGTGAATGTCTGATATTCCATTATTATTAATGGAAATAATAAAGGTTTCTTTTAAGCTCATTAAGGGGTTAGATAGGGTGATCCCCTCTCTCACCTGCTCTCTTTATTATCACAGTTGAATATTTATATAGAGGTTGTTTGTATATATTATTCTCTCAATATAAAATTCTGTTTTATATTAATAAGGGTGGTATGCATATTTCTCATTTATGTTTTGCTGATGACTTCATTATTTTTTGTAATGACTCTATTAAAAATGTTAAGATTATTTACAATTTTATTTTGAAGTTTAGTCAGGAAAGCGGGTTAAATTTTAACCTAAAAAAGTGCTCATTCATTCTAGGAAAAGGTATGCTTCAGAGAAATATCAAATATATCACCCATTACACTGGATTTTCTATGCAAAATCTCCCCATATTTTACTTGGGAACTCCAATCTATAAAGGCCGCAAGAAAAGTTTTCTTTTTGATAAGATTTTTCAATCTATTAATTAATACTTAAGTGGCCTCTTGGGAATTTAAATTTTTCTCCATGGGTGGCCGAATGGTTTTGATTAAGAGTGTTTTGTCTTACTGTTATACCATTTTTAGACTATTAACCCCCCTTTAGAGGTTTGTATCAAAATGGAGAAATTTTTTAATAATTTTCTTTGGGGTTCTTCCTCTTTCTCTATAATTTTTTTTTGTGTGGAAATTCAGACAAAATGATTCCCTTTTGGCTAACTTTATGAACCCAAAATATTGCAAGTTCAATCATTCGTCGTGTTTAAAAATGGGCAATCCTCGGTTTGGCACAGGTTGTGCAGTATAAAGTGGCTGGGTGAATCTTTCTTGCATTAGGGTATTGGTAATGGCGATTCTTTCTTTTGGCAAGACAACTGGATGGATTCTGCATTCTTAGATTCTTAGTTTCATACAGATTCTATCTCGAATTCGATGTTTTTGAATTTTTATGTCATGGTAACTGGAATCATCAACATTTGCTTGAATGTCCCTAATAATGTGGCTGATAGCATTATGTACATTCCTTTTGACATGTCCACGTACACTAATAAGATAATCTTTAATAAGTATAAAGATGGAAAACTTAGCTCTAAAGAGGTTTGGAACTATTTCAGGGATAGATCTAATAACAAAGTTTTTAACAGAATTTGGAGTCAGAATATTCCAACCTCTTACTCTATTTTTAATTGGTGTCTTATAAAAGGTTTCATTCTAGTGGATGAGAGATTAATATCTAAGGGTATCACCATTGTTTATAAGTGCTAATGCTATTCTTATGTTGAAACTCTTAACCATGTTTTCTTGGATGAGCTTATTGCTGACAAGGTATGAGTCTTTTTGGAGAATGCTTTGGGCCTTAATTTGGATTTAAATATCATTAATTGTTATTCTTTTTTGGCTCACCGATGCTCCAAACGTTCTGTTGGCCACATTGGTATTATTATTCCTATGATAGTTTTCTGGCTGTTATGATTGGAGCAATAGTAAACATCTTGACATTAAAATGAATTGTGACAAAATCATTATTTGCCTTAAGCTCGAAATCCATCAGATGATTAATAATTAGCTAATTTTACCTAAGCATTTTAAAGGGGTTATGTCTTGGACTACTATTTTTTAGATATCCATTGAGAAAAATACTATTAGACATATGTTTATGTTGACCTCTGTGTAAAGCATAAAAAGAAACAAAAAAAAATCAAATCAGATCAAACCTCGTATCCACGAAACCGGCCGGAAATCCCGCAAAAATCCCGCTGTTCAGCGCCGAATCAGTCGCTTCTCCGTATTCCCTGCGGAAATCCCGCTCTCGATCTCTGTCACGCTCCCATCGTTAAATACCGACCCAAATGAAGCCTTTCTTCGCTGCTCCACACTCACCACTCCCGACGTCTCTATCTCCCGTTCCGATACAGAAGCCGAACCTCCCTCTCCGATCGAACTCCACGACTGCTCTCTGTCTCTCGATTTCCTTAGCCGCTCCAGTTTAGTGTTATTTATTGGATTAAACTGACCTTTAACCAATATAAATTAAATATTGATGGTTGTCTTTTTCTAAAGTGGGTGCGGGTTATGGGGGGGATTATTAGGAACTCTACTGGTAATATAATTTTT